AAGACGCTCGTAGCAATATACTGAGCGTTACCGGAATTTTGGTTTTCTTGTCTTAGACTTTTAACAAACTGTGTGAAAATGATTCACTTCATCACAAAAACCTCCCCGCCAAACTTCACAACCACCGGACCACATAGTTCGAGCTGTGTGAGCAGCCTAAAGTTTCCCGTACGTCAGTAAACGCTTCTTATCACTAAGCATTCTTCCCTTTCGTTTATTTTCTTTGATTTTTTCGCAGAATTTCGGTGTGCAAAGAAGCGTACAGATTAAAATCTGATAAAGAAACAAACCTTACAAAAATTCACCAAAAAAGATTGCAAATGGAGCTCGCAACCAGCTCTCGAAATTTGGGACTCTTCTTCAAACGGCGGCGTGCTATCAATAATTATGAACAGATGATTTTCATTCAACGTAAGGGATAGGGATAGTGGCAAAGTGCTTTTTTTTTCAAAAGAGGTTGTCCTCCCCCAAGAGGTTTATAGAACACATTGATTTCGATAATAAAGATTCAGCATACATTAAAATCGTACTAAACTGTGAATAAATGACACAAAAATACTACATAGAGTGGTTTTTATGCTAGATGGACGAGAATCGATTGGTATTTGTAAAGTCGAATAAGAAAACTTTTTCGTGCCACTCTTGCAGCACCCAAGAGAGATGCATAATCGATCTGATGAATTCGAATTTATTGTACACATGCAACAGCACATTCAACAACCTCACTCACAACATCAACATTCAAACAAAATATTATAGCATAATGAATATTGCCTGAATGAAAAGATTCGAAAAGCAGTCGGCTTAACTGCTACATTATAAGAAGACTAAATTGCGTGAAAACTGATGTTGGTGGTTAAAACTTGTGAAGTAGTCAGTTGAGCTTTCGNATGCATAAAGCAACACCATCCATCGTTTTGTTATCACGAAGAATTTGTCACGATGAAGTTCTTTTATTAAACACAAAATACGATTAGCTTCATTAAAAACCAATGAAATTTTTTACTGAAAATGAATTCATTCAAAACTTATAACAAGTATTATCAATAAAATGGATCAAATCAAGCGAACTGATTGAATCCATCAACAAAACGATCGGCAATTTGCCTTCTCTCGATTATACACATACAAGAGATCAGTGGAATTACACGAGGGCGGTATGACAGAAGTGAAAAATGAGTGAGTAGTTCGGGCCTGCAGTTAATTTGTTCAGATTCTGATAAAATTCAGTTACAAATTGTAAAACTTTGATTCACACTTAATCCGTTTTTTCGCATCAACTTCACACGTTCATCATTTTACAACCTCTCAAATATTTTTACTGATTCTGCACTATGCAATATTTTATTTCAGTCACAAACTCCCACTATCATAAAAAATCGTTGGCTAAAACGACCTGACGATGAGCATAGTTTTTACCTAGTCAAACCTAAATCTGACCAATAACATATGACTCGACTAAATTTCATCACTACGCATTCAGGGGGCTTGGTAGCTCCTAAAATAATTGAAGTTGCTAAAAATTTGCACATAACACTGCACATGAACAAGAAATGAGGATAGCTAATTGTAAATGTTGCTTGGATGAGGCGTATAAAAATTGATAGATTACTTAATTAATGTACAATGCAAATTCAGCTGACACTCGGGAGATAGAAAACAATATATTAGAGATTTCAGTAAAAGCACTTATGGGATTGAAACTGGATGAGAGTAATAAATAAGTTGAAAAAGTAATTCAAATAATGCAGGCAAGAACGAGTAGTATTCAACAATGAGGGAACGACAGCAACAAAAGTCATTGAAACAATCAAACGAACGAACAACAAAACAATTCCATGAACAACTCGGCTGCAAATAGTTCCACCATGTCACGTCGTGTGCCGTTTCAGCTTTGCCGTTCGAGTTGAGGGAGAGACCTGAGCTACGCCAACATGCCAACGTCACAGCACCTTTGCAAAGGTTCCGTTGATTGGCATTCCAAGAATACCAGTCAATCTACAGTAAATACACTACCTTCACTGCAAATCGACATACATCATCATCTTCGAAGCAATGAAGCAAATTCAGGTTTAAACGAGCTCAACTTATCACAAAACTTTACTGCCATCGAAATTGTTCGGAGAGTCACTATACACCCACTACATTTTTTACTAACATGACGTTTGAAGTAGTTTGGAGGCTTGATGATACTACTGTGCAGCTAAATTAATTCGAGCAATAATGATACTAACACAATGATGCTTGAGGTTGAACTTATTATACGGTAATTTCGAAATTCAGTTCTATCGAAGAAGCCCAAAATTTTTCGCCTATAACCCAACCAAATAAATTTTACAAGCTCCAAAGTTTCGTTCTGCCCAAAAAAGCCCAGAAATTCGGCCAGGATAGTACCGAAAAGTTCTGGAATGATCGAAAAACTACCCAAACCAAAAGTTCAGTCGGAATCTGACTGACTGATTCGTTCTGGGGGAAAGATTTTACAGTGCTGCTTTATTGAATTGGTCCTCAGCTTTCCAAAAATACCTCAGCCTAATCAATCCAAAATTTGTGTAGCAGAAACATGCTACTAGGCGTTCACTGAACATTAAATTGAAAAACAATGAACAGAGATATTGATCAACAAACACTATACTTGGGAAACTGATAACCCACTGGACAAGTCTAGCACATTCAAAACATTTCGTCCTAACAATGCATAAGTGGTGCAGTAGTGCAATGATAAGAACAGTCACGATGAAGCGAACGGTGGCATAGTGGACATTTAGTGTATAGATGGGAGCTAATAAACTCTCTGACAAGAAAAATATAGAATATTTCGATATAACAATTAGTTCATCTTGAATACGACACTATATGGCCTGGTTAATGTATGCTAATACACATTATGCACTGAGACTTCCGAACATCCAATATTATGCACTCAGTCAGCCATTCTGAACATGCATAACGCAATGCGCATAAGAGAATGACACAACGAACTGCTCTACGAGTCTGCTAGTTATGGAGCAGCTATACTGCAATCGATTGTGATCAATCGCTAAATGAAATGAATGCAGAAATGATTCGAATTACTGAAAACGATGTAATGGCTAATAAAAATTGATGTGAACATGGATGGCTGCTCTTGAAAGCGTAGAAACTTACAAGAATAATCAACTCATTTATCACTCATATCATTACATATAATCAAATGAGTTAAGAATCGCAGAATAAGTATGCAGCCAACAGGACGTGACCAGAACCAAATGAACATTGGCGATATTGAAGAAGTTACCTGAGATGAACTATGAAATCTCTTGGGAGAGTTATGATAAAACATTCAGGGGGAATTCGCTTCGAATGATACTACGCTACAATACGTAATACCACAGGATGTTTCATTTCTCGAATAATAGGAGCTGAATAAATGACGCAATGGTTCGAAAACGGGACGGAGATGCACATCATTTTGCGAGGCTCAAAACGCTGATTGTGAGTACGAATAAGTTTTTCAAATTTGCCAAACCCAACAGGTGAGGTCACGATCTTGCTTTCGACCTCTTGAAACAAGGTCAACAACATGTTTTGTACAGATCAATATAATCGTGTGTGCACTAGCGGATAAAGCGTACGATTTCTGCGTTGTTCTTGCAACACTGACACTTGACCATCCTCTGTACACTTCAATCAAGACAGATTGAAGTTTTTAAAATTGAAATTTACATACATTTCTAATACTGCTAAACATATTGAATCACAACAAAATGTTTGAAACAAATGTGGCAGTCACCATGAGGACACTTCAAAAATGAAAGGTTATTATAGCTGTTCGTATCTGGCATTGATTCACATTCTCATCTGACAGTATTTCCAATTGAATTCCTTCAGTTTCCAATCAATCTCCTTCAACACGAACACTAGTTACATCAATCAATCATGTATCTCTCAAGTTTTCTGCCCTCCCTGCTTAACAATTTAACATTCCCAGTACTAAATTTTTCCTCCGAAGAACAACTACGTTACCCGCACAAAATCCTTCGCAAGCTCGCTTTATCATGCAACTGATGAAAAAATCAGCACAATATGACCAGAAAGTAGGAGGTAATGAAATAAAGGTTGTGGGCAGGAAAATATGTCAAAAACATAATGCGAGATCGAACCTCGAACCTTCATCTCAATAGTTCAACGCATTGTCCGCACACCACACGATCACATTGATTAACATGCATAAAAATCAAAATAGTGTCCGTATACATGCTCACAACATCGTTTCCCCTCAGGTCTGGCAAATTTGAACAAAAAGTTCGTAAGCATTGTTTCAATTTCTTCAAAACGATGTTTGTCTCACTTCACATCTCCACATCTACTGTGGTATATTTTCAGTAAGATTGGCGGGGCGGCTGCTCCCCAGTGAAGTTTTTCTTGCCTTATTAAGAATAAATATGACATAATCGTCCCTACGTTCTTTTTTGCTTGCCTCACTCTTTCCAAAATGGTCATCATTACAAACTATGGATGAGCTGTTCACCCAAGTGATCGGCTGCCCAAGAAACATTGAAAATCACAAGAGTGAAACAAATTGTAGAAGAATAGTCCTTGTTCTCAAGTACTTTCCTACGTCTTACTTTCAATAAAGCTTTGTTAAACCTGGTCTGCATTTGAGAATCAATCTCAATCATTGAAAAAATCCTGGTTACGAAAGTCTAAAATCGCCTCCTTTCCTTCCCCGCAAGAGCGATCAGGTCCTCAGCGACGGCGTTCCTCTCTCATCAAAATTCCCCTTTTCTAACCATGTTGGCGTGGAAATTACATTTGCTGACATTTAAAGGATGCGAAATTACCTGTCTTAAGCGAGCGATGTAACGATCATTCAGCATCAAGCTTAAGTGCTGAGGGTGCATCGTCATCCGCCAAATTGCCCAATGAATCTAGTGCGATCGTTGGAACCTGAACCAGCTGGATGAGGTGATAGGCGGCTGTTTCTTTTAAATATACTATGAAATTAAAAGTAAAACAAAAGAACAACAAAACCACCTTAGCGACAGTGGTAGGCCCGGGACTCTTGCAAGGAGATGTTGTCGTAGTGGTTGAAGCAGCAAGGTGTTGTTGCTGCTGCTGGCTTGGAGGAGAGTCAGCTTTTGTAGTGTCTGTACTTGTCTCTGGAGAAGCGGTTGGTCGAACAGCTGGCGAGATCGTTGATCGGGAGCTATTGTTGGCCTAAACAAAAACTTCTTCACTTTCGAGACACGAAATAAGCGTATCAAAAACTGGTATATGACAGGAATACTTCAACTTGTAAATCATCATTAACTTGGTCAAAATCAAACATTCATTCAGTTGTGGTGAGAGGAAAAAATGAAATAAGAAAGATGAAGAGGCAAAAATAAGTGAATCGAATGAATATTTGAATTTCGAGAAAGAGCTGCGGCTACACACCTTCGGAGAGTGCGAAATCTGTACAGCCGGAGACTGTCGTGCGGCTGGTGATGCCGAAGGGGTTATGCCAGTGGTGGCAGCCGCTAGTGAAGACAGGGCAGCCGCTGGACCACTGTGGTGTGTGTTCGCGGCTGCGCTTGCGAAACTGGCCAGTGCAGCCGTGCTCGGATTCATCATCAACGGATTCAACAACGGATTACCCATTGCAAGCAAAGGATTCGAATATGGAAATGATGGCAAGCTACTTCCTACCGGTAAACTACTAAACCCTGTAACAACAACATAAACAATAATTCCAATGAAACACATTCATCAATAAAATGACAATTATAATAACACTAATAATAAAGATAACAAACCGTCAGCGATAGAAGTACCAAAATTAGGCATAGCAGCAGCAAGTGGATTGAACGAGGTGGATACGTTGGGTGCAGTTGATGTGGACGTGGGTCGACGAGCATGCGCAGCCAGAAGTGCTTCTTTGTTAACACAGTTCGTGAGATCATGAGGACATCGACCCAATATTGCACGCCTTACTTCACGTGCAGCTGACAGACGAAGATCTTTACAGGACGTATCCGAAAACCAAGCCGAATGAGGTGTATGAATGATATTTGGTGCTGATGTTAAAGGTCCTAAAAAAACATTTGCAAACTGATCATAGACTATTGGCATAATGCAATTGAATGCTTTTTTTTNTTTTTTTTGCTGTTGACAGCAAGTATCAGCAAAACAATGCAATTAAGTTATTGTTGAATGTTGATGAAAAATATCTGTTACAAATATTAACAATAAAAGCAATAAAATTTCCAACTGATAACCGAGAGAACAGTGATCGCTCTCAGTAAATAACTAAAACATTTCGGTCGAGTGCAGTCAGAAACTGAATCTTAGAAACTTTTAAAAAATTATTTACCCATGGCCAAAGGATCGAATGGTTCATGTTCATGAACGTCTAACGCAGCTGCTTTAATATGCCCAGATTTCAAAGCATCACCGAGCGCACTTTCTTGAATGAGGCCTCCTCGACCCGTATTTACAATGAACGCTCCAGGTCGCATCTGTTTGATTGTCATCTTAAACGAAAACTTTTAAGTCAACGCATTCCTTCACTCGTAAAGTAAAACAACAAGACGAATAGTTATGCATACAACAACGGCATAGCCAGAGAACGTTACAAAATGATCTCCTCCAAAAAAAAATAGTTGAATTTTGACGTGAAATTTTCTAAGTTTTCTTCCTCGTTCTCTTTTCCCCTTCTTTTGCCCGAATCCTTTGCCTTTCTTCCCTCATTTCCCTCTTCTTTTTCCCTTTTCCATCCCTCTAAGGAAGTCATCTGCTTCGCTCTCCATCTTTGCTACGTCGCGGTGCATATATAAGAACTTATAAGCTGATGTGATATTTAATTACTTTGATATCATTCAAACACACGACAAAATTGCCATCGCAATACATTTTCACGTTTTCTATGCGATAATCGCAAGGCTATTCAGATCGAATTTATGAGGAATGTTGTTGGATTCAATCAACTTCAACTAAAATCAATTCGAAACACGTACTACTATTTGATTCATTATCTGGCCACCCATGTTGTTTTTCTCATGCTTTGCACATAAAACTTAAGCAATTAGCCAGATACTTATTCAGTCTTCATGTGCTAAATAATCTTCACTGATATTTGATAAGAAAGAAACGCTTTATGCTATCTTTAATGATTTCTTGAGGAAAATTTGTGGAAGGCAAATGTTTTTCAAGGTATTTAATTCAACCGCATTCAGTATAAATTGATTTTACTGGGAAGTGTCAAAATTTTGCTACGTATATTGACTTTTTCTGAACAAAATAGTCATAGCTGGGCTAGATGAACTTATATGAGTTAAATAAACACTTTCTTGCAAGCGAAACAATTCTTGAATGAACTCTTACGGAGGTGATCTCTGATTGGAAGCCAAAAAGCTTTAAGCTTAAAATACGCTTGTGAGACTTTGTAACACGAGCAATAATTCTTTGCTGGAGAAAAATCAATCGAATCAAAATTTGATACCAAGAAAAACAGCCGCGATTCACAAGCAACGAAAGATAAGCTATAAAAAAACATGAAGGCGATTAAAATTTACGTCGTTGATCATATGCCTGGTTTCGTCGGTGAGGGGGCAATGCAGAGTGATACAATCAGATTTAAATAAGACATCATCCAGATTGTAACAACGTTCCAATCCCAACGCCTTGTCCACCCCTTCGGGTAGATGAGGATCGAAGAAACAAATCTTAAATCCGAACGCTTTTGCACGCATTGCTACGGCCGTACCCACTCGACCCAATCCTATAATCCCTAACATATCGTCCCGAATTCGTGTACTGCCATTCGCTAATTCTCGAACTTGTTCAACGCCCAATATCTGAAATAACACTCGTCTTCAGTCTCAAAACTACATATGAAAATTCAGTGGCTATTTCTTATTGCTAGTAGTATTATGAAAATTCCACACAAAAACGAAAACAGTAATGTTCTATAAAGCTTTACAGATTCGAACAGAGGGATAGGTACTCAGAGAGACAATTCGCACTGCTCAATTAAGCCTATTGCCAAAATTTCACAACACATATTCCTTTCTATGGACAAAGTAATCATCACTGGGTTGAAAGAAACTCGTATGATTTGAATAAACGTTTTTTTTGCAAACAAACGATTTTCGAATATTTATGTAGGTTTTATGACAAATAAATCATTCACGAATTCACTGACCTTTTTACCTTCGGATACAGCTTTTGCTAACCAATAAGTTTTCCTATACATATTCAATATCAAAGACATTGTCGTATCTGCAACCTCTTCCACGCAATCACCGGGAGTATTACAAACCGCAATACCTTAAAAAATATCATCAACACATTTCTCTTTCATTTAGTCAACTTAAATGGAGCAGACACATCGAAATGATCATTGCAATCTTGATTACATCGATCGGTACAGTTCTCGAGTAAAATTCTTCAACTGAAGATACATCAAGTTACGACCAGAGGTGACCAAAGTTAGAGTCAGAAAAAACTGATGGCTGTTTCTAAAAGAAAATGAGCAACAACCGATAGAAGATAATTATGAGTAGTTGCAAAATCGACATGACAACATTCATTCTGCCCAATGCATAACTCAGTGAATTAGTGTGTGGACAAGTGGAAGATACATCCAGTACAAATGAAAAATCTGAACAAATAACGTTTACTGATAATTAGTGAATTATCTGATCGAAGGCTTCTAACGCTGAGTGACTGATGTGCAATAACGATGGCATTTTGTAAGGAATCAGTGATAAGTGTTGGACTCTTCAATTAAGAATCCGAATTTTTAGATATCATATCCAGTCAAATGCTCACCATATCTACTCAAATTAATGAATGAATATTAATGAAGTAAACTCCGCATAAAATATATCCTGGACAAGCGTGAATAATAGAATACGAGGATGATGATTATCAAAGTAGATGGCACGTCTTCCTAGCAATAGTAAACAGTTTGAGAGGGGAAGGGGACGAGAACGATCTTGAGACAACGGGAAAAAGGTCACTATTTTGATATATATCGAAGTTTTTTTTTCGGTCAAAACATTAGTTTTGTATGCAGAACTACAAACTTCCTGCATACGCTTAACATCCTTCAAAGAGCGATTTTAGCAATGTCTCGAACTCCCGAACCGCTTTCTATGCAAAAATTTTGTGGATGGGGACGACAATTGTAAGTAAAACTACGAAAATTGGGATGTTCGAGTGGTGCTATCTCGAAAAAAGATTGGGGGCATGAAAAATTTGACAATCACTGACAAGGTTCACTTGAGATTTATATGGGACTAAACGATCATAAATATTCAATAAACAATCATATTGGGAAGCTATCAATTGCACGAGCAACTCAGTCTACTTCGTACGATTCGAGTACATTCAAATGAATACTACATGAAGTTAACTTCGTAATTTTCATCAAAAGCAATCACTCAGCTCAGAAATGGACCATCTGATCCATGATCAACACGCTATCATCTCAATGAATTGTTTTCTCGATGAAACATCGAAAACTTCAAAATTGAAACCAACTTTCGTGCACATCAGTCACTATTTTATGCGATGCACCAAATCAAGCACGCACCAACACTCAAACTATTCCGGATAGCAATCACGCAATTAAAAATCAATTACGTGAATATTTCCGATAAGTTTGTTCAAATTGATAACTGTAACTGTATCGTTTTCAATCGCAGCATACGTGCTTATGAATTAATGCTAGCTGATTTATAGGAATGCTCAACTCAAGTAATATGTTTCTTTAGGCAACCATATTGAACAGCTATGATATATGTATATACATGTGTTCAAAACGCTTCTATTATGTAGCATTGAAGTATTATATGATTCGCATCCAGCAACAGATTTGCCATTCATTTTGATTATTCATTCGTTTCTATCGTACTTCTCTTCTCCTAAACGTTTTGAAACACTCATCTATCACCACAATATTAAACATTCATATACAAATAATAGTCAATAATGAATGTTTGAACCACACCCCACCACTTAACATCGCATCATATCATCACGCTTTATTTACATCGCATGCGATCATCCATTAATTCTATCCAGTTGGATATCAATCTAAAATTTTCACCATCCTTAGCATATTCATATCTTCTTCCTACAATGAGTAATAAGTAAAAGATCTAGTTATTTGAGTGAGATTTTGCGAACGACTAAGAGTGCAAACAGATGAAAGCATTAATCACTTCAACACAACACGAAGCGTAGTTGACCAATGATTTCATCGTTCAGTCAAGAACATTCACTGTCATGCTTCCATTTATGGTGTCCTAACTTACATCGTTCTCGAAAACATGGCACTTCGTTTTCAAAAAAAATTTTCGAATGCATTCTTTTTGATTGAGTAAACTAAAAAAAGATATACCAATCATGTTAATAGGCACACAAAAATGAAAAGACGACTGTAACACGCAATAAATCGTGCTAAACTACGCGACTCGAAGCGTACAATGTTCAAAATGGGATTCATAACGTTATTTGCCCCTTACTTTTCCGATAGATAAACAAACTCGTCAGTTTGCTTCAGCTCTTCAAAAAGCGTCTTATGGAAAGTACTGTCGTTAATCGAAGACCTTATGAAAAACTGTTCGCGTGTGACGCATACAAGGCTCACAGAACATCATGGATGGCCGATGCAACTTGAACTCTATCACAATAGCCACTCTTTAAACAGGAACGATGCAATTATAATATTTTCTTGGCAGTAAATCGTGCTGGAAATTTATTTTGAAAGTGATTTTTGTTGATGACGTGTTGGACTGTGTACCGTCAAAGAATATCGCCAAAACATCTACTTTGAACCCCATTTCCGTAAACAATATTGACAAGCAGTGGCGTAGTCAATATAATTTTCCAGTGGGGAGGAGGGGGCATAAAATGGCCTGGCCCAAAAAAACTAGAAGAATTTTTTAGGCACTGAAAAAATAGGAGAGTATTTTTCTACATTTATTTTTTCT